GGGAGGGAGGGAGAATGAGAATGAGAGATTACTAGGAAGTTTAGATCTGCAGATTACACAAGCTCGGCTGTGCAGAAGGGGGCCTTCGAGGATGTTTTAGGGTTTTCTTGAATAAGCAAGCCTGAGGGGTCCGGGTTTTTCTTTATATCTAGATTCTAGGGTTTTGTTCGTGGTTTCTCCCGCTATAGTAAAACCGAACCGAACCGAATTTGCGGTTTGATTCGGTCTATAGTAAAACGGTTTGGTCGGTTTCGGTTTATTAAATTTTATAAACCAAATCAAACCATAAGCCATATTAAAATACATACATATATACTACTAAGCATGCAATTTTCACGTGTTAATTCTAGATAATAATAATGGTATTAATAATTTATCAAAAATATATATATTAATATATATTTTTATTTTTGTTTTTATATCTTTTTTATTATCAATATGGTGCAGATTACAAAATCCAAATATGATTACATAAAACACTGCATCCAATTATCATTGAATCGAATTGTGAAGCTTCAAGTATCATTGATAGGCTTACCTACTTGGCTAGATTCTTCTTGTTGTAATGATTTTTTTTTTGTATATTTTTTTGTTCATTTATCAAAGAAATGTAAAATTTAATAGAGAGAATTGAATGAGATGAATAATGTTATTCGATTCAATGTGTGCTGGGCCGAACACATAGCAGATAGTCCTACCAATTGGATAAGGTTGAGGTGGAAGGACGAGGCCATGCACCATAGTCTGCAAGCACAAAGAGAATCAGAGGCCTAATGAATTTATCCCTGAATAGGCACTTCAACACTCAAGTTAGTAATGAATAGAGAGAGGAGAGATTGGTTGGGCTAAGCAAGTAAAGAGTTGGTCTAAGCTGAAGAGAGTAATGCGTGTTAGATCCCAAAGAGCTTACTTTGAGGGGGGGATGCCCTTTATATAGACTGAACACCTACATTGTAGTCGGATGAAGTCACCCACTGAGGTTCTTGGGAGGTCCCACTCTACCCCACAAACCGCGACTCCTTGTCCATGCGGGACTCTACTTCCCCGTGAAGTCTCTCCGTGACGCAGTTGTGGTAATGTGTGTCGACGTAGTTCGGAGTCATTGGCCATGAAGGCAAATCACATGGCAACTTCAGTCAACTAAAGTGTCACCGAACAGTGAAAAGTAGTAATAGCAGTAGTGTCACCGAACAGCTAAAGTGTCATCGAACATTGGACTGGATCATATTGGACTAAATCAAGCCCAATTGACACCCCTAGGTAGTAGTTCAATTTATAATTTAAACCTCACAATCAAATAGGGACTAAATTCAAATTTGAGTATTTTAGTCAAAATAATGATCCATAATCCTATTCATATTTTTAATAATAGCGTAAATATAAAATTATAAATGTGTTCAATTTTTTTCTATAAGTCTTTTTGTATTTCTATCTGTACAAATAACTCTGATATGTCACACTTATTGTTTAATATGATATTATACATATGCCTGAATGTTCTTTTGCAAAATTTATGTATTTTGTATTTTATATTTTATTTATTTATTTATTTATGGCATTAAATGCTAACAAATTTGACCCAAAAGTTGAACTATTGATCTTTGCCAAATAGTAAAATAATTTCATTTCTTCTCAATTCTAAATTATGTAATTAAGTTTCATTATCAATAAAAACAATTATTGTTTATTACACTTATTTTTTAATTTTGTTAATAAAAATATCATAAATTTGTCTTTTTTTTTCTACATTTCATAATTCTTTATATTTATTTCTAATTTAAAAATTGTATTACCTAACTATGACTATAAAGAATGGTTTTATTATTAAGTAAGTTTTAAAATATACAGGTTTATATTGTTAAAAATATTGGCATAAATCTAATTAGTATCATTTATTAGTAAAAATAACTTAATATAGGATTTAATAAGAGAAAATTAGAGTTAATATTTTGAGCTATAAGACTTAATGAGGGGGGATTAAATGAGGTGGACAATAATAATTGACGTTACATTTTCAACCCTTACAATTAGAGATGCACTAAATAAACAAATATAGGCATTTTAGTAGCCACTAAAGTTGGCATTAAAGCTACAATAAAATGAATTTTATACCTTTTGTCAAACAATGAAATAAGGGATAAATTTAGTCAAAAAAACTTAAATTCTACATTCCCACTTTTATATATAGTATAGATATATTGAATATTTTAGAGTTTAAGTTTTATTAAATATATATAATAAAAGTTTTATAAGAAGATTAAAGATTAAAGAAATATGATTTTAATTTTTAGTTTTTTAACTTTATCTCTCTTCTCTTTGATATCCTACTTGTGTTCCCTTCCCCTTTCGTTTTTCTTCCTCAAAGAACACCGAACAATAGAAGAAGGCCATAGCCCTTTGTATACATCGTCGTTCATCAGTGCCACTCCACCAACCACCACTTGCATTTCTAATTTATTGTCATCAATCATTGTTGGGTCATTGTATCGTTGTTCCTCCCTCTCTCTCTCTCTCTCTCATTATCTAAGATAAACAACCCAAGAAACACTCTTCCTCTGTTCAGCTAAACCATATCCGCCCCAATCTGACAATCCCCACTATTGTTGTTGACTCGCCGTTTCAAACCAAACATGTCTATCATTTTTGGAAAATCGAACCATCATCAATCTGTTCGGTTAACCACCGGTTCATTTCATTGGTTTTCGATTTTCATAATAGTATATATAACAAATATTTATATTATATTATAAATACATATAAAATATTATATTATAAATAATAAAAAATATATAATACATATATATATATTCATTTATAATAAATAGATAATATAAAATATATATGAATAACAAACTAAAACCGAACCGATCGATCCAGTTAATCAGAATTTTTGGTTTGGTTTCGTCAGTTCAGTTAAGTTTTTTCAATTTTTCTTGCTCACCCCTACTTGTTGTCGATTGTTGTAATCTCTCTCTCTCTTTCTCACACACACGCACACATCTTCCTATCTCCTCTCTTCTATTATTTGAAAAAAGAAAAAGCACAAACCCCTTTTGTTTCTTCTTTAATATGTGTTCAACTATGAACACTCAGGAACCACTGGAATTGGAGTTCTAGAAGTACAAGAACAATAATTCGAAATTGGACTTGGGAGATAGGTAAAATAACAACCGTTTTTAGAATTTTGGACAAAAAAGTAGGATTTATTTATTTTTTTAATTATATGTTTATATATGCATGTTTTAGCAGTAAAATGTCCAATTATATGTTTTATATGAGTTTTTTTCATGTTCTGATTTTTTACTGCATTTATTTAATTGATTATTTCAAATTGTCTTAAGTTTGTTGGCTTTTTTATATATTGTATATATTTAAATTGTCAACAATAAACTAATTTAATTTTTATTACAAATTTATTAACATATATGTATGTGTATATATATATATATATTCCATTTTTACCAAATTTACATACTTGTTTCGGTCAAATTAATTATGAAGAAAAATATATGATTTATTAATTAATGGATTCTATAATTGTTTTAATATGTTATTTATTTTGCATTTAATAATATAGATCCACACTAATTCTATAATGGGTTAGATGTCTGGATTGGTCAATGTACATTTATTCAGTTTTCCTTTTTTATATGATGTTATTTTAATATTTTTTCTCATTTTATAGATTTAAACCTGAAAGTATTAGGTTATACTTTTCACTATGACACCCCCTCACCTTGTGGATCTTACAATGTAAGTTAAAATTTATAATTTTACTTAATTATTAAATGTTCATGTTGAAAACTAGTGACACTCTACAAATAATGAAGAGGATAAGTACTAGTTGTCTAGAAACAACCTGAAATGAACACAAATGCAACTTCGCAAGAAATAAAGAAAATGAATGAAATAGTTGATGTATGGTTTCACTTTACAAAGTCACATACAAGTAATTGTGAGCATAAATGCAAGTGCAATTATTGTAATAAAACATACAAATGTGATCATAGACTCAATGACACTACCACACTTAAAAGGGCATTTGGGTTTTGATAGATGTCCAAAATATTCATTTAACGATCTTAATCAATCTAGTTCTAAGAAAATAGAGCGGAATTTTCAACCATCTTTAAATGACCAAGAAGAGAAGAGCAAACTTAGAAGTCTGATCAAATATGTAATTAAAAAAAGCATTAACATACATGATCATTGTTGATGAACTTCTTTTTAAGTTTGTTGAGGATCAAGGGTTTAGATACTTTTGTAGTCATATGCAACCAAGGTTTTATATTCCTTCATGAATTATAGTTGTAATGGATTGTTATTAAATATTTGTGAAAAAAGATTGAAACTAAAAGTTTTTTTAAGGGAAAATTCGTGATCAGTACCATGTGATCTAGTACTCGAACTTTCAAAATGTGATAATCCAATATATGTCGTTAACTAGTCTGTTAATCAGCCATTAAGTAACATTTGAAAGTCAAAAAATGTCCTAAGAATGCCATCTAATTATCTTTATTAACCATCCAAACATTGGCAATAAAATGAACAATCCCAAATTCTAGGTTCTTCTAAACAGTCACCAACTTTTTTGAATATAAGAGGCTAGGATTTGGGACTGTTAGTTTATTGTCAACGTTTGAATATAAAGAGAATTAAATGGCATTCAAAGGGAAATTTTGACTTTTCAAATGTCACTTAACGACTAATTAATGGACTAGTTAACGATAAGTACTAGATTGTCACATTTTGAAAGTTTGGATACTGGATTGTCACATTTTTAAAGTCCGAGTACTAAATTGTTGTGTTTTAAAGTTCGAGTACCAAATTGTCACTCGAGCCAAAGTACAGGGTACTGATCGAGAATTTTCCCAAAAAAAAATTGTAGAAAGATTTGCCTAATCACTGACACGTGGACTTCTTTACAAAGAATCAACTATATGTGTCTAACGACTCATTTTATTGATAATATTGGAAATTGAACAAATAAATTTTAAACTTTTGTCCAATTTCTAGACATGAAGGTGAAGCCATTTGTAAGACATTTGGGAAGTGTTTATTTGAATGGGGTATTGAGAAGGCAATGGCTGTTATAGTTGATCGTGCAAGTTCCAATGATATTGTCATTGTATATT